TCCACTTTTTTTTTTTTGTGCTAGGGATTGAACCCATAATCTTGCACATGCTACCTCTAAGAAGAACTACACACTCAGTCCCAGTAATGAGAACTTCTGCAAAATTTTTACAGAAGAAAAAAAATTTAAGCATCAATATAAAACAAAATTGACTTACATTTAAAAAATTGAAGTATATGAATTGCCTTACATAAAGGAGATACTGTTATTTTCATATCTGAAATGCAATAGAAATAAAATCTTTTCACAGTATTAATTTTGAAGATCAGGTATACACACTTATTTAAGCTAATTACATGGCAGGAAGGGTCACAGTAACAAATGTACAATTCACACTGCTGCCCGGCGTCCATTGTGGAGGCCTGGCTGAAGTGCCAAGGAAGGCAGCGGCCTAACAGTGGACTAGATCAGAGTAATTAATCAGTGTCACCCAGATAGCAAGTGACGGATGCTGCTAGGGCGTGCATTGTGGTGCGAGCTGCACGGGACACTCCGTGAGGCTGAGCGGTAGCATCCCAGTCTTTATCACAGGCAGACAGCGATTAGTACACCACCCAGTAGCTGCGGTTCAATCAAGAACAAAATTGATTTCATTTCCATTGTGTTAGAATGCTTTTTAAAATTAATTTCTTCCAGAGCTCTGAAATTTCATTTCCCCAGAAGGGGAAGAGAAAAGCATAACAAATCATTTTTATCACTATCACAGCTTAGAGTGTGAAAATGAACTGGGGGAACCTAATGCTCTTGTACACAAAAGCTTACTATATAAATGAAGTAAATAACTCGATCTTAATCATATTTTTAAAGCCAAACCACATGAAAACACTTGATTTTTAAAGTGAAAACACCATATATGCCTATAAAATAGAACTAAACATTACTTTTAAAGAAAAGAAATGCCTTAAATTGGTAAGTGTTTTCAACTCTTTTAAACCAGGGATTCTGGGAGGCAGGGCTTTCACTCCCACATTTTGGAAATGGCTCAAGTGTTGTAAACATTTTATTTGGCACTATTTTTAGAAGTAGGCTGTAATAAACCAATAAAAATCCCCCAAACTAGACTTTATAATTCCATTTTACTCTAGTCAAATGCATTATAGCAGAATTATTAAAGCAAATTCATTCTCAGTCTGAGAATTGAGCGCAGCAGGCCTGACTATAAGCCCGGCACTCAGAGGCCAAGGCAGGAGCGTGGTCCCACAAAGGTAGTTTTCTGCCTTTTTGAAGAGATTATATAGAGTTGAGGTACTGCATATTCTTTAAGTTATGGAAAGAATTTGCCAGTGAAAGTCTCTGCGAGGAGACTAACTCCGGGGAAGGCTGCTAACAGGCTAGGCCTCTCATTAGCTCTGGTCCTTTCCAGTGTTACACGGCTGGGGGTCCTTGCTGCTACCAGTTATTGCGGCCTCCACTGCAGAACTGGTTGGGAACCTGGGTATGAGAAAAAGAGGAAAACAGCACCAAAGAAAAATGGGTTTTCCCTGCTCTCTCAGCATCAAGGACCCTATTCCATTCCTTGACCTGGAATGAAGGGCTTCTGGAGCTTCCACTCTGCAGCCACGCTCCCTTAAGCATTCCAGGCTGTGAGGTCCAGCCTGGGGGATGCCACAGGAAAACAAAGCACAGACTGACTACCAGTTTGCGCACATTTTGTGTTCATACATTCTCCCCAGTGCATCTCCTACTGCGCACTTTCCAGGCATCTGAAGAAGCTGCCCTCTCTGCCCATTCTGGTTTTCCAGTTGTACCCATGGAAGAGATGGGATGGAATATGGAATGCAATTAATTCATCTTTCCTGGAACTGGGAATTCAGTGAGTTTATATTTAAGGTGGTTTCCTACACACAGTAGTTAGTTCATCTTATTTGCTCTATCTCTGCATTTTAATTGGCATGCTGAGACCATTCACAATGTAAATATCAACGGTCTGAGGTCTATCATCTTTGCATTTGTATCCATCTCTTTGTTCCTTTTTTCCTGCTTTCTTTTGAACTAATTTCTAGGAGCCCACCTTTCCCTCCTCCTAGCTTACAAGCTGTATTTGGCAGTGTAGTCTAACACTTGTTAGCTCTTGTGCCAGGATGTAGCGTGTGTAATTTACTGTAGTTTGCCTTCAAGTATGAAATTACTTCATGTGTAGCACAAGAACTTCATGTTTTCTTGTTTTATCATTTCCACAAATTTTACTCCTCCATATTCTGTAATCCACAATATGTTTGCTTTACACTTCGCCATGCTTTGAAATCTACAGTGTAGTCAATTATTTTTTAAGAAACTAAAAAGCACGAATATGAAGCCTCTTCTGTGGACTCACATGTTTCCATTTTTATCATTTTACACTTCTTCATTTACATCCCAGCTTCTGCTTAGTGAAGCTTCTGCCTGAGGAAGCACTCTGTATATTCCTTGTCTTGTCAGTCTGTGCAGTGGCTTTTTTTTTTCTGAAAAAAATCTATTGAGTTCCCCTAGATATAGAACACAGGCTGAGTTTCTCTCTGTGAAAACATCACATGATTATCACCTAACTTGTGAAGTTTACCGTAAGTGATGTAGGTAGTGTGAGAAGGCAACTTAAAGTCTCATATGCGCTTCACAGTATTTGAAAAACTCAAAGGACAAAGTATGAACTAATTATGCTAAGGATTATTAGCATAATAATTTTGCAAACTCAGAATTTTACTAGTCATCAAGCAATACTTGGCTATAATTAGGTACAAGAGAACTGTGAGACTCAGACTCAAATACCATTTTAAATTTCCCCTAAGATTAAACCACAAGTGGACTAGTACTCTTCAGACTGCAGCAGAAAACACCAAAGCAAGACAAACACCAGAAGAGGACCTAACTCTTCAATGCCTGTAACAATGAAACAGAATGCTTTTTTCCTTTCAATTCTTGTTCCTTGTATTTTTCTAGGTAACATATAGGAATTTCAAGGCAAGAATTCCAAAAATTCTACTCTTTGGCATAAGTGGGTTAAAAGAACTTCATTTTTGTTTGCCTTATTTCAGTTTTGCTGTGCTCAAATTTTGTGGAGACAGAGAAAATGTCTGTATCAAGATTTTATTTCTATAAGGAGCACTGTGAGGAGCACTGTGACCTCCAAGTGAGAGAATGGCAGGGGCAAAAAAAAAAAAAAAGAAGAAAGAATGGCAAGAGGCAGCTTTTCTATAAGGGTATTTCTTTTTTATCTATTCAATTTAATTTATGTATCACCAGTGAAATCAAAGCTTTCTCAATTTTATGAAAGATAAAGATAGTGACCACCTTGGCTCTAAAACAAACAGTTCAAGGGCCAGCCAGATAGCTTAGTGGATTAAAGTGCGTGCTTAGGCAGATGCAGGGAGCTGGGGTTTGATCCCTGGATGGTGTACCAGCCCTCCATCTCCTCCCCCCAGCAGGATGAGATGGGGACTGAGACTGAGTATGGTGGTGCATGCCTGTAATCCCAGCACCTGGGAGACTGAAAACAGGAGGATCATTCTGAGTCCAATCTGTGTAGTGAGACCCTGTACTGAATATACAAAAAAAGAAAATAGAAACAGTTCAGCAGATGACCCCGAAGCCCCCTAGCACCTTCCCTAATCGCATTTCCCCATTCCCCAAAGGCAACTTCTGCATGAACCTAGTGGTTGTTTTTTGTTTGTTTGTTTGTTTGTTTGTTTGTTTGTTTTTGTGGTACTGGGGAGTGAACTCAGGACCCTGTGCTTGCCAGGCAAATGCTTATTCTACTGAGCTATCTCCCTGGCCCCTAGTTAGCATTCTTAAGTGTTGTTCAACTTTTCTAAATTCATGTATGCATAGCTTTTACATTTTAAAACTCATAAATGATACACTGCACAAGTCACTGTGCAATGTTTTTCACTCAGTGCTGCTTTTAAAAGTTCGTTTTGCAGTGCTGGAGACAGTCAGTGTGGTTTCCGATTGACAATACGCATGCAACTCCTCTGCTGTAAGATAAGATTTATTCTACTTTAGCCACTATATCTGTCTGTCTACCTGATGAACATTCAGGGTGTTTCCAATCTTTCCCTTTCATAAACTATTATAAAGATTTTTGTGTATGTTGTGGAAGAGACTGTTCAGAATAGAGTCCTAAAAAAATTCTTTCTGGGTTATAGGGATCCACTGTGACTTTGTTTGATGGTGTCGAACTGTTTTCTTAAGTTACAGCAAATACTATCAGTAAAAGAGCATGAACGCGTCAGCCATAACACTGCAGCCTTTGCACTGGCCAGCTTTACATACTTTTCTCCCTCCCAGCAAGCCAATGGATGAGAAAGTGTCTCGTGGTTCCAGCTTTTCCCTGACTTAATAGTGATATGTGGTATCTTTTCACGGAAACTTGTCCATTCAGCATGTCTGTCCTCAAGAATGCTTTTAGTAAAAGTGGGATAAGAAGACTTTTATGTTATACGAGTTAAAATAATTCCATAATTATTCTATTTTTTGGAGCTAAGTATGTAAGAACTACAGGTGCTAATACTGTAAATGAACAATCAATGAGGTAAAAACAATGGACTGTACATTCCAATCAGCTCTGGAACCGTAAGATGTGAACAGGCGGACAGTAGATAGTAGAGGGAATTCTAGACAAAACTATTTTGAATATGCAACTGAGATTTGCTTTTTAATTCTACTGGTGATACTCCTTTTCAGTCCCTTGGGAACTGAAAATATTTTTTTCAGTTTTATTTGCATATTATTAGACAGTTATTTTATTACTAAATAATACTATAAATTACTGTACTGTACTATACTAATATAAACATTTTCATAATTACTTTATATTCCTAAGTGAAATACTATCTCAAGCAGAAGTTATATTTAAGCTTTTTAGAGATGTCCTCAGTTAAATGATAGGGATGGCAAGCCCTCAGATATCTGACCTTAGTGCGTGCTGCCTTGTTCCAAACACAGTGAGCACATAAAACATGGCTGTAAAATAGTAACTTGTTTATTTATGGCAAGTATACCTTTCCCCTTCTTTTGCTCCTTACCTGCTTTCACTAAAAATGGCTTTTCTAGTAGAAACACTGTTTGTTTCCAGTGTGTTTTGGTACTCTGGGGTCCCGTGGAGAACATGACCTGCATTGGTAAAGTTCAAAAGTATCTGATGAAGTACAAGATTTTTAATATCATGGTACATTAATCTACTAAATCAAATACAAGCTCCAATTGCTTATAACAGCAAAATGCTTATGATCAAACACCTTGGGGCACAAAAATAGAATACAATGTACTCTGCATAATTAATTCTTATGAATAACTCATGATACTTACCCTCTCGCGGCAATTCTTTTCAAAATATATATCAAAGTAGCCAGCAATTGCCTGTGTTTTTTAAGAAAGAGGGAATACAAAAGATCATTAAACTCATACAGTAATTATTTAATCTTTTAAGACATGGAAAATTATATATTATTTCAAAGATCAGATACCTCTTAAACTTACATCAGGTCACTATTTTTCCTAGAAAAGATGTTATAATAAAAAATGAATGTATGTATCAACTCCCCACAAGGAATTATAATCACATAATGCAAGCACGTACTAATAAAAAATAACTAAAAAAATTACAATTAATACTTAAGTAATACAATTTGAGGGTAACAGGCAAATCAAATATGTGTTTTACTAGAGAAATGATCAGGTTAGAGAAACAAAAGGCGAGAAACCAAGGACAGAGAGAGGTCCGGCTGCTCCGAGCAGCTCCAGACGCTTGACTGTGATGGACACGGGCACCCACCCCTCCTCCCAGGCTTCCAGCCACAGGGCTGAGGACCGACCCAGGAGGGACGAGCAGAAGCACCTGAGTGCAAACACTGCCTCGAGCAGGGATGTTCTGGGTACGGCTTAATACACAGCCACTATGGAAATAGGTTCTTTTATATAAAGCCAGCTCACTAATTTCTTCTGATTTAGTGTGTCCAATTATAAAATACTAATAATATATATATTTTTTAATGTTAGCTTTTTCTAGAGAAAACCTCTGCAAAAAACCCCAAATACTCAAAATAAAATTTACGTTTAAGGAAAAACTCCCAAGTCTAAGGATTACAGTGGTAGTGCGAAACATTCCTCAGGAGAAAACAACATGTTGAGATAGACATACAATTTCTTTGTTTAAAATTTAAACCACACCATTGTTTCTTTCATTAATGGGATTAGTTTGACTTAAATTGTTTTGAAAAATAAATTTACAAAGTGTTAAAAACAAACATTGATTTTGAGAAAAACCACTATCAAGCTACCTGCAGCCTGTGGCTTTCCCTAAGAACGTAAGCTTCACTGATCTGGTGGGGCGATACAGACTGAGTCCAAGGCAAGTGCAATGCTTAGAAGCTTGGTGTGTATTATATTTTATCAAGAAAAAGTAAGACACTTCATACCCCCGCCAAGTAAAATTATAAACAAATGTGGTACGAGCTATACATTATCAAATAAAACCATATAATCAGAATATATTTCTAAAACATGCCTTTTCAACTGGCTTCCTACTACTGAAAATACTCCTCCACAGACCAATTCAGTCACTCTCTTCAGTTTATTCTTGCATCACTATATTCTTAGTGCCTAGAGCAGTAACCGGCCCACAGTACCAAATGGGTATTTGAGGAATGAATGTGCTTATTATATATGATTTTATTATATGACATTTAGTATTCTGTATCATAATTATGATTTAAGAGCAGGACCTAGTTTTAATTTTTTATTTACAGATCACTCAGCAAGAAAAAATTTATACTGAAAGTTCTCAAATATAGATCATTCTGCAAATTTTTTGATCTCTTAAATATAGGTATTACTACATGGCAGGCTAACTTATTAAATCACCATCCTATATATATTAAGGAGCTAGAGGCTGGCAAGATAGCTCAGTGGTCTAAAACACCTGCTTAGGCAGGCTTAGGCAGGTGCAGGGGACTGTGGTTTGATCCCTGGCACCACATGCTACCCCAGCTCTGCCCTCATGGTACGCTGAGCTGGCCCCCACCCCCCAAAAAAAATTACTACATTAAAGAGCTACAAATTAGTAACACTACACCTAAGAAATGGACAGAAATTAAAGCAGTCTCTGGCCATACCACCCTGAACATGCCCAATCTCATCTGATCTCAGAAGCTAAGCAGGGTCAGGCCTGGTTAGTACTTAAACGGGAGAAATTAAAGCAGAAAGTTTATTTAAAAAAAAAATTAAATGATTCTGAAGCATGTGAAAGAAGTATGACCTCTACAAGGGGAAAACAAAACCACCAGATGCAATGCTCCTCTGGGGAGGGCACAAGGATGGAGGTTGAGCTAATTACTAATGGCCAATGAATGACACAACAGAACCTTTACAGAACCTTTATTAAAAACCCTGAACAGGGCTGGGGAGATAGCTTGGTGGCCTAAATGCCTGCCTGGCGAGCGCAAGGACCCAGGTTCGATCCCAGGTACCACATGGCATGTTGGCCCCATGCCGAGCCAGCCATAGAAACTGGGCATGGTGGCACACAGCTGTAATCCCAGAGCTCAGGAGGCTAAAAACAGGAGGATCGCTGAGTGCAAGCGTGAGCTGCATAGTGAGGCCCTGTACCAAATAAATTAAAAAATAAAAACAAAACTTGAACGAGATCAGAGGACTTCAGTGTAACTGCTATAATCCACACCTCATAGGAAAGTGTTCTCTCCCTTCATAATCTGGATCCTTCTAGACGTTCCTCTTTGTACCTTGTTATTTGTAATAAAAGCATTATAATCTTCTTTGTAATGATAAAGCAGTAGATGTGATGTGCTGCTCTGGGTTCTGTGAACCATCACAGCAAAGCACTGAAACTGAAGAGGAGGCTGTGAACATCCTTGGTTCGCAGCCAAGATGGACAGCATGGCTACCTCAGGATCCACCACTTGCGACTGGTTTCTAAAGGGGCAGTGTCTGTGAGAGCCTTTAATCTGTGAAATCTGTGCTACATCTGATCGTGTCACAAATGAATTAAACTGTAAGACACCCACTGAACATCGCCAAGAACCAGAGAAATGGTTGTCAGCAGAGGAAACCCAAACATGGTGTGTGTCATAAGCGCTCTAAGTAGAGAACAGCTTTTCTTTAAAAGCCCTTTCACCATTAGAAGCAATACTTCCCCACCCCACCCCACCCGGAACTGGGGATTAAACTCAGGCCCTTGCACTTGCCAGGGAAGTGCTTATTCTACTGAGCCATCTCCCCAGCCCCTCAGAAGCAATACTTAGCAAAGCACGACATAACTGGAAAGCATCTTGACAGACAGGACGTACGTTATGGGCATACACCATATGCTGTACAAATCTATGTATCTGGAAAGATACTAGTCAAGCTATTGATGGGAGGTGACAGACTTGTAGTGCTCATTTTCTTTGTACTTGTCTACGCTTATATGTCCAACAAAAATGAGCAGCTACTGTGAAAATGGATCATTTTTATAATGCTTCCATTTAATTTGCTTATCATGTTCAATCCAACTACTGCCTTTGGCTCAGTGCCATCCCACTCATCTCTGTGCCCTCAGGGGGCAAACGTCTTAAGATGCAGAACGCAGGAGCTCTGAGGATCTGGGGAAGCACAAGTCTACCATAATAACATTTACCAAGGAAGTGAGTAGAACCTCAAAAATAGGACAGATAAAATAATGGAATACTCATCGTAGTAAGAACTGTTGAACTATATGAAAACATTAAAAAAAGTTTAAATTTGAGTCTGAAATATACAAAATACACGGACAAATGTGTTTTTCAACTCTTGAACAGTAACACCAACAAAAACAACAGGCTGGCATTTAAGTCTAAAGATGGGCGATAAAGGAGTTCACAATATTTAAAAACCTAACAAAAATATAAAGATAATTCAGAACTGTTTCCTAATCCCCAAATCTGTGAATTTTAGTTAAAAATCAAAGAAACAAATCCAACTGTAATACCCCTGCCCAATAATGCAGTAAAAGAAATATTTAGGTAACCAATAATCAGAGATAAGCCTCAAGAGAAAAATGAAAATCCAAAGATTTTTTTCCTTTGGTTGTGAACATTTGGGAAATCTGAAAATGCATCTACTATATAGTTCTTTCTGAAATGCAGCATTCTGCCTTCACCTCTTCAAGCAGTTTCCTTCCTAATGGTATCTGATTTAGAGTAATAGAAAAATCAGATATACTGGGATACATGAAGAAGAAAACAAAATCATGAAACGAAGTCAGGAGAAATTCACCTGGGCTTAAGAATTAGGTAAGGGAGTCTTCAGACTGCCAGGCTTCCCATGGCTAAGAAAGTGGGACAACCTTGCTCTGAAAAATAAAGGGAAGTTTCTAATTTTAAAATAGCTTTTTATTCTCAAACACAGGATTGTCCCTTAAAGAGACCAGGTTTCTTACTTATTTTTATTTTTTGGCCTTGTAGTAGTTTCTCCTTAGCCATGATTTTGCTTTCAGTTTGTTTCCCTAGTCAACCAAGGCTTGAAAATAGTAAATGGAGAATTCCAGAAACTTAGAAAATTTAACTTTCATTATAGTGTATTTCTATATTTGTAATATTTGTTGTTGTTAATTTCTCACTGCCAAACTTATAAGTTAAAGTTGATTATAGGTGCATTTGTGTAGGAAAAATTCCTAGTTTCAGAAATCTACTAGAGATGTTGAAATACATTTTCCAAAAGAAAGCACCATTAATTTTTTAGAGATATAAAGTAAAAATAAAGAAAAAAACTAAACTTCACATGCAGTTATATAAACCACCTGAACTATGATTAGTGTTTTATTTCTACCAAACTATTTGAAAACATTGATGTAACCAATCAAACGTATCAACTGATTTGAGAAATCCTTTGTTTAGGGAATACAATGTGCTATTATTTTTCAATTACAGTCTCACCACCCTGTTACAATCACCTTGACAGGCTATCTTTATGTATTTTAATTTCAATGTATTGTGCCTCACTGTGTAAGTCACTCAAATGTAAGAATAAACAACTACCATTGCAAACTGGAAGTGAGGACTAACAGGTAACAGCAATAAACAACTGGAGCTGCGGCTTGACATGTGCTTGGACAAGACCAGCTAGGCGAGACACCAACCACACAGTAAATTTTGCCTCTGTCCTGCATACGCTTATTGTCAGGAGCATCAGGAACCGACCAGGAAAACAGAAGTGCTAAGATCTTGTGTCTGACAGGAGCTCAGCTCATCTGCAAAGTCCATGTCACCAGTAAATACAATGTCACCGAATTATGCCAGAATTGGAAAAATCTGAGTCCAAAGAGAAGGGAAAATGGGTGGTAGTGGTAACAATAACAAAAACATCTTCTGATGACAGAAAAAACG